TAACCTCTCTGAGCTCAGGTCTTTGATGTTATACAGAGACAGCAATTCTAGCCTCACAGAGTTGTGAAGAGCATTAAATGAGATCAAGTCTGTAAATGCCAAGAGAGCCTAGCAACAAGGAAACTCAGGAAATGGCAAGTCCCTTCCCACCCCTCTCTCTGACATCCGCTTCCCTTTCCTGATGGGAAAAAAAGGCACAAGAGAGTCACAGGACCTGGGTTCTCTGGGCCTCAATCTCCCTCTCCCCAAAACAAGGCCATTAGGTAACTGATGAACCTATTCATTCATTCAATTTCTATTCCACCTATGACATTCTATACAGTGAACATCTTTTATATCCATTAATTCACCTGTGCCAGGTTGTGTCTTATGCTTCAGTATCCCCTGTTAGTATCTACCTCAGAAAGGGCACTAGAAAAATCCCTCCTCAATAACCTACTACCAAGGGCATGTTTACTGCCTCCCCCACCCTGCCCCAAGAGAACACCCAGCCCTGGCTGGTACCAGGTGCCCCTCCCCCTCCCTTGCCTCAGCCCGAAACCAGAGCTGGCGCCACTGGGTGAGGAATCTGGGGACCAACTGTCACAGCTCTGGTATCACCCGCCTCCTGGACGCCTGGGTCAGGCACTGAATCCCAGAGAGGCCCTGTCAACCAGCTGTCCTGGGGGACCCCAGCTCTGCTCCAGCCCCTCTGAGCGGCTCTCCCTGGGGAAATCAGAGAGTGCAGGGGATCTGGTAGGGGGTGGTGCTGGAATGGTCCCAGGGGAGAAGCAGAGACGTGTTTGTCCAGGTCCACACCTCAAGCTGGGCTTCAAAGGCCTTGAGATTGGGTCCACAATAATGGAAGGACCATAGTGACTTGCTCTCTCCTCCAATCTCTGTAGCCTTAAGTCCCAAAGACTGTTTTGTCCTCACATTTAATCCTATTTGAGCATGTTCTCTGAGCCATGTAGGCTTGATTCTGTGTCTTGCTAAGGGCAGATATCAAGTCTGATATTTCTTTTCTGTGTCTTAACAGAATTTTACCCAATATATTCTCACTGATTGAAATGAATGAGTTGAGTGTGTTTGAGAAACAGAGAGAAAACTGTCTGTGCTGTCAGCACGAAGGATGGTGTTTAGACAGCAAGGTGGGCTTCCCATCTGGGAGGGGTATTAAGAAAAGAAAATGAAAACCCCTTGAAGCATAGGAGAGGAGGCTCAGCTGCCTAGGACACATGGAGAAGGCATCCCGACAGGAGTAGGGAGATGGATGAGATAACCTCTATAAGGGCCAGCCAGCTTGGTAGGGCAACCTTGGTGGTAGCCTCCTGTATCTGCCTGCCTTCCTCCCTCGGGGCTCTAAGAATAGGGCAGGGGAGGGGCAGGTGTTAGGTGTGTGCCCCCATCACTTGGTACCTGGTACTTAGACAGCAATAACAGGTGCCCAGTTTGGCTCGAAGGAGAGAAGGGACACAGCTCACACGCAGATGAGCAGTCTGGATCACCCACACCCACACCTGTCCTCCAGCCTCCATGTGAGCCCTGGGCCCCCCCCCCTCTTCATTAGGTCACCTTTCCTGCCTTGTAGTCAGACCTGTGTGTACACATACACAGACACACTTGCACATAGACACATGCTCATACAGCCAACTCAACAGCCCCACAGGGTCCTTTGTTCCTCAGGCCTGAGGCTGGGTATGTGTTAGAGATGTAGAGTTCGCCTGCATCTCAGTGCTCATCAGGAATTCTTTTGGGATTTATGTGCTGTTTGTTTGGGATGATCTTCTGTCTGCAAGTCCAGGTCTAGAACTGACTTCAAGGGACTCACAGTGGGTCAGGATCTCCTCAGTGCCTGGTACATCTTAAGAGCTCAATTGGAAGCAGTTCGCTGAATAAATGAATTAAAATTAATTCATGAAGACCACTAACAAAAGTTAATTGCCAGGGGAGAGCATCCAGGGCCGAAAACTAACATTGATTGAACACCTAAAATGAGCCAGGCACTGTGCTAGGAACTTGGCTTATTATTTCCATTTGAGATGAGGAAACTGAGGCTCAGCAGTAATTGACTGCTCAAGGGGCAGAACTAAGAAGCAGTACATTTGGCTCCAGAGGCCTGCTCCTTCCTCTTATGTAACAAAGCTTGGACCACGCACGTATGCTCACCACATCCTTATTGAGCTTTTTCTCTGGGCAGGGCCATGTGCTGGGCACTGGGGGGCCAGGGTTGGGGACAGTGACAAAGATGAGACACACACTCCTGTCCTCTAAGGTCCTGAAGGGGAGAAGTATGCCGCTTACACACTTTCTGGTTATAGGCAGAGAGTGAGGGATGGGGTGGGCACAGCTATCTATTTCCAAGCAAAATTATTTCAGTAAGGACTTCAGCCCTCATAGTCACAATTCTAGATTGGGAAAGTGGGAGTTGGGGGGGGGAAGAACAGGAGGGCCCCTGGGCAGAAACCTAGCTTAGCCAACACAGTGTCAGTGGAGGAGGGGAGTCCCTTGGACAAAGGAGGCCACCAGCCTCTGGGAGTGAGAGACTCTTCAAACCCCTCCTGAGAACCTGGCCCTCAAGGTGCCCACTGTCGGGCTCCTCTGCCACTGGGCACCCTAGCAGGCCCTGCTGTGGGTGGACACACTCCACAGAATCTGCAGGCTCACACCCCTGCATGCACACCCATGCCCCACAACTAAGTGCGCACACACACATACATCCTGCCCTCCAGGTGCCAGCTTCATGGTTGCCTCTCTGGCCTTGGATACTTGGAATCGGTGGGACCCTGAGGGTGGACACAGTGGTGCATGAACACACCCAGGGGATTGATTTGTCCTTGTTGGATCAGTGAGGGGGGTCCAGCAGGGACTGCCCCTTCCCCTACCCCACCCTTTAGTCTGCCCCTTCCCATTCAGCAGCTGTCCCCTCCCCAGTCACACACAACTTGTTTCTGTCCTTTGTTTTCCTCCCTGGCCAAATTCCAAGGCTTTCTTTGGTCATTAACCTCCTGCTTTAATTAGTTTAGTGGGGAGGAAAGTGGAAGGGGGTAAATTCAGGGGTGGGTGTCTAGGAGGAGTCTCATTTCAGAAGGGACAGGAAGGTTCAGACCAGCTGGTGACAAAAATGCCTGGCACAAAATCAGTCCTATGCAACTGCTTCCTATTTCTATTAATGTTAAAAACAGTTACCTGGTCCACAGAGTAGGACCCTTCTCCCGAGGAGAGAGAGGACCACAGTTCCCGGGACCACAGTTCCCCCAATCTAGGTTCGTGGGGCAGAAGGATAGGGGACAAGGGCAGGGAAGAGCCCACTGTCACAGGGCCTTGTCTCTTCAATTCCTCCTTTCACACTCTTGCTTAGAGGCGGGAGCGCCCAATCCCACAAGGTTTGTTGTTAACTTTATGTTAAATCCTCGATCCGGAGAGCACCCCTCCCCAATTCTGGGGCCTTCCGGGTTTCTCAGTCATGATTCCCCTTCCTTGGATCTTCTGCTGCGCAAACAAGCAAGAGCCCCTCAGCGTGCCAACCCCCACCCCCTCCTGAGATCTTCTGCCCTGGCTCCCACTCTCCCATTGGTGTGCAAATTGACTCTTTCCAAGAATCAATTTAGGGAAATGGGCGTCGCAGCTCAGCCCTCATGGCCTCACAGTGCCTGGTCTATGAGGTCATCTCCTCCATTCCCCAGCCTCCAAGCAGAACTTTACCTCACAAACTAGTTTAGATTTTTGGTTTCCAAGGCGCTCCAGAAAAGGACACCTTACCACTGTAGCTCACCCACCCATTCTTATAAAACTCTTTGGGGAAGTTCTTAAAAGTCTGACCTCAAGCCCTCAAGCTGCAATGCTATCCTTTCTCCTACTGGGAAAGACCCAGACATAAAAAGGATGACAAAAGAAATGCTTAAGATATGGGGTGAGAGGAGAAGAAAAGATTACATTACACTCCAACTTCCACAAACTTTCCTAAGAGTATCCAACTGTCCAGTTCATGCCTTTAAAACTGATTTTGGCTTTCACCAAATTTCCAGAGTCAAAGGAGCTGAATTAATGGGTTTTCAGTGGGGGAGAGGTGGGTGAGGCAAAGTGGAATAATGGTGAAGGCTAAAGAACAGATCAGCCTGAGCTATATGTATGGCCCAGATCTGACCCAAGTCTGGGTCCCCATTCCATCCCGTCTCTCTTTCCTCCTTTCGTCGCACCCGAAGCTCGTAGCTCTCACCCGATACTCTTAAGTCACACCATTCCTTTAATGTGGAATGTCCCCCCACTCTCTGTCCCCCACTTCTCTCCTCTCCCTCCACCCCTTCATCCCCCTCATCTCTTCACTCCACAGCCCTCCCAGCTCCCCTCCAGTGATGAGAAGGATGTGAACTAACTCACCTCCCAGTCGGTGCCTCTCAGATCTCCAGAGACTGGGGGGCAGGAGGGGATGAGGGGGAATGGCTTGCCGCTTGGGGATGAAGGGACCCCGTCTTTTGCCAGGGGGTCCCACCCTCCAATCCGGCACCCCATCCCGGCCCCCACAGCGCGCAGAGGCGAGTTCTCCCCGCATCGCGGCTGCGGCTTTGTCTGCTCTGCGGAGAACCTCTCCCCGCGGCCCGGAGCCGGGATCGACTCTGGGAGAGCGGGAGGGGGAGCGGAGAGCGGGGAGGGAGCGCGGCAGGGGAGGGGGGAGAGGGGAGAGAGGGAAAGAGAAAGCCGCAGTGACCCAGCCGGGACCGCTCCCCGCCCTCTCGCCCTCATTACCATAAGAAAGAGGGACCAGAGGCCGGCCAGGATCGAGAGGGAGCCGGTCTTGGGAGAGGGGCACGCTCCATTAGCCTTTTTTCAACCCGTTCCGTTTCTGTATTCAGACTCCTCTCCCCGTGCCGACCTCTTGGAAAAATTAGGGACCTCGACTTCCATCCCACACCCAGCTTTGCCTCTGGGTCGGGGGTAAAGACCGAAGGCATATCCCTATCTTTCTCGGGTCAAGGAATTTGTCCCTGCGCCCCCGAGGGCGGGAAACTACAACTCCCGGCATGCCCCGGGCGCCCCCGGCGCGCCCCCCTCCCGTCAGTTCCATGCTGCTCCATCCAGTTCATTTAAAACAAAAGAGTTTGAGCGCTGGAAGGGGCTGGGCTCTATTGGGGGCCACTGAGCGCCGCTCTTGGACTGGGGCTCGGTGCGGGAGCCTAAGGGGGGCGTCTGGACGGCGGGGTCTAGAGACTCCCGGGTCCGAGGCGGGAGGGGTGGGGGCAGAGATCCCGCAGCCCCCCGCCCCCCGTCACCCCGGAGAGGAGAAGGAGATCTGCTTTCTTGGCTTTGCTTCTCTTTCCCCCCACCCCCACCCCGGGGGCTGGGGCGAGGGG